GAAGCTACAAGCATTTCATCACTTCAGTTTCGCAGGATATAAACAGCGCCATTTGTAAATTGGGAAAGCATCTGATCACACCGATTTTGGTTTGATTAGATAATGTAAGGGCAGAGGAGATATCTAGAGTCTGATAGACCCCAGATTTCTCAAAAAAGAATATATGACAATACCCATTGAAGTTATAGGGGATATTTGCATTCCCTGTTATAGCATTAGACGTGATCAAACCAAAAAAAAAAAAATGAAAAGGTACAAATGTAAAAATAATAATAAAAAAAAAAAATCGCCCCTGCCATGCGCTTACCTGTGTGCACAAGCCTTGACCCTGTGCCGGTATGTTAACAGCGCTTGCACCATGCATGTGAGATCAGATCAAGGGCAATAATTCTAACACTAGACCTCCTCTGTAAATCTAAAATGGTAGCTTATAAAGCGTTGCCTATGAATATTTAAAAATGTTTGCAGATTGTCGCCATTGCATGGGGCATGCGCAGTTTTAAAGCATGTCATGTTTGGTATCTATTTACTCGGCATACCATTATCTTTTATATTTTATGAAATAATTGACCAATATATTGTGTTTTTGTGCATTAAAAGTAAAAAAAAGTGTTTTTTTTTTTATTTGCATTTGAAAAATCGCTGCACGAGTACTATGTGCCATAAAAAAATTGTAGTACCCACCATTGTATTCACTAGAGTGTCTGCTTTAAAAAAATATATAATGTTTGGGGGTTTAAATTAATTTCCTAGCAAAAAATACTGATTTGTTTCATGTGAACAAAAAGTGTCAGAAAAGGCTTGGTCTTCAGGTGGTTAGAAGAGTGAGTAATGTGTGGCATAAACTTCTAATGCTGGGCATAAAACACCCCCACCCCCCAAAACGACCCCTTTTTGGAAAGTAGACACCCCAAACTATTTGCTGAGAGGCATGTTGAATCAATAGAAGAATTTATTTTTTTACCACAAGTTTCTGGAAAATGACAAATTGTCACTTAAATGATTTACTGCTCACACATGCTATGGTTATATGTGGAATTACTCCCCAAAATACATTCTGCTACTTCTCCTGAGTATGGGGGTACCACACGTGAGAGACATTTTGGTAGTCTAGCCAAGCACAGGACCCCAAAATCCAATAAGCAACTTCAGGCTTTTAAAGGGCTTTATCTCTTCATTACACTTCCTGACTACCTATCACAGTTTTGGAGGCCCTGAAATGCCAGGATAGCACCTAACCCCCACAAATGACCCCTTTTTGGAAAGTAGACACCCCAAGGAATTTGTTAAAAAGCACGGTAAGTATTTTGAAGATCTCATTTGTTGCCACAAGTTTTTGGAAAATGAAGAAAAAAAACAAAAACATTTTTTCTATTTTTTTTTATATTTCAAAACCTTGTGAGAAAAAATGAGATCTGCAAAATACTCACTATGCCTCTTTTTAAATTTCTTGGGGTGTCTACTTTCCAGAAAGGGGTCATTTGGGGGGGGGGGGGGGGGGGTTTGGTGCTATCCTGGCATGTTTGGGCCTTTGAAACTGTGAGGAAGTGTAATGAGGAAGTTACGCACCTTCAGGCTTTCAAAGTGGTCATTGGATTTCAGGCTCCTGTATGTGGCTAGGCTCCCAAAAAGTCTCACACACATGGTATCCCCATACTCAGTAGAAGTAGCAGAATGTATTTTGGGCTGTAATTCCACATATACCCATGGCTTGTGCGAGAAATAAATGACAACTTTGTGTAAACAAAAAAAAAAAAAGTTTTGTCATTTTCCAGAAACTTGTAGAAAAAAAATAAATCTTCCATGTACTCAATATGCCTCTCAGCAGATAGCTTAGGGTGTCTACTTTCTGAAAAGGGGTCATTTGAGGGTGTTTGTACTATCCTGGTATTTTTGCACCTCAAGAAATGTGATGAGCAGTCAGAAAGTAAAAGCTGTGTAAATTCCATTATCTATACCATATTTTGTAGATGCTTTCACACAAAGCAATCAATTTACACCTATTGGGAATTTTTAAATCAAAAACATGTAGCAGAATACATTTTGGCCTAAATTTATGATGAAATTTTAGTTTTTTGGGATATTTTTTATGACCGAAATGAGAAATATAGTTTTTTTTCAAAAAACATTTTTTTCTTCAAAGGTTTTCTGGTTATAGCACCAAAAATAAAAAGTGCACAGGTGATCAAATACCACCAAAAGAAAGCTCTATTTATGTTAAAAAAAGGACATAAATTTCATTTATGTACCGTATTGCATGACCGCGCAATTGTCCGCTAAACTAGCACAGCGCTGTATAGCAAAAAAAAGGAGTAAATTGCAGTATCTATACCATAGTTTGTAGACGCTATAACTTTCACACAAAGCAATCAATATACACTTATTGGGATTTTTTTTACCAAAAACATGTAGCAGAATACATTTTGGCCTAAATTTATAAATAACTTTGAGTTTACTATATATTTTTTTATAGCTGAAAGTAAAAAATATTGTTTTTGTACCAAATTTTTGGTCCTTTCTTGTTTATAGCGTGAAAAATAAAAAGCGCACAGGTGATCAAATACCACCGAAAGAAAGCTCTATTTGTGTGAAAAAAAGGACGTAAATTTTGTTTGGGTGCAGCATTGCATGACCGCGCAATTATCATTTGAATTAGTGCAGCGCCAAGTAGACACAAGAGGCCTGGTCATTAAGTGGGGTAAATCCTCAGGAGCTCAAGTGGTTAATATTTTTTTTGCTGGATGTGTTTTATAGCAAAGAGTCAAAAATATATATTTTTTTTCAAAATTGTTTTTTTTTTTGTTTATGGGGCAAAAAATAAAAACGCACAGGTGAGCAAATACCACTGAACGAAAGCTCTATTTGCGGGGGAAAAAGGACATAAATTTAATTTGGGTGCAGTGTTGCATGACCGTGCAATCGTCATTTAAAGTAATGCAGCACCGTATCGCAAAAAAAGGCCTGGCCAGGAAGGGGGGTACATCCTCTGGAGGGCAAGTGGTTAATATGTGTTTGGTTTTAAAAAGGATGAGGTGGCAATCCTACCAGTCACAGAAACATGCGGTGTGAATGAGCCCTTTCGTTATTTATTTATTACAGGCATTTATATAGTGCCATCAATTTACACAGCTCTCTCTCTCTCTCTATATATATATATTGTACATTCACATCAGTCCCTATTGCAGGCCATAGACGAGTCGAAAACTGGCCTTTTTTTTTAAAAAAAAACTAAAAATCGGTCGTTCAATAGGCTGACGTTACCACCAATGCTAAAAAAAAAAAAAAGAAAAAAAAAAATCATCAGATTTTCGTCCCGTCTACGGCCGGCATTTAATTACTTCTGTCCCTTGCAGAGAGCTCCGCTACTATATTTGACATGAAAAAGTATTGCAGTTGCAACATTGTATCCATTTCGGATACAGATGTTTTTATTCGGATACAAATAGATACATTTGTTGCAACCACAATACTTTTTCATGTCAAATATAATAGCGGACTGGAATTCTTATTTTTCTTCTTCTTGCAGGTCACGGCTCATGCGCAGATTTTTTATCGGTAAAACGATTGGCCAATTTGCCCATCATTGACAGGAATATTGACCGATCGGCAAAATCGGCCTGATTTTTTTCCAACTTTATCGATAACAAAAATGTACCAAAAGCCCGAAAACCAGCCGACCAATTAACCCACTAATGGTGCGTTTTTTTTTTTTTTCCGACGAAAAATCGACCAATTTTCAACCTGTCTATGGCCTGCATAATGCAGGCCATAGACGGTTCGTTTATCGGCCGAATTTTCGCTCGAAAGAATAATCGGTCGATATTTGCTCCGTTAGTGGGGCAATGTCATTGGCCGAATTTCACGGTTCCTCCTCATTTCTTTTATCGGTCATGCTGGAGAAAAAACGGACGATTTTCATAATCATTGGTGGCAACAGAATTAACGATTTTTTGTTTTTCGCCCGATAAATGAACCGTCTATGGCCTGCATAATGCCAGCCATAGACAGTTTGAAAATCTGCCGATTTTTCTTTAAAAAAACGAAAAATCGGTCGTTCAAGCGGCCGATGTTACCAGCAACGGTAAAAAAAAAAAAATCGCCCGATTTTCATCTCGTTCACAGCCGGCAAAAAGTGTCCCTGCAGAGAGCTCCACTATTTCTTTGACAGTTCCTTGACATTTATAGCGGTTGCAACAATGTATTTGTATCCATTTCGGATACAGATGTTTTTATTCGGAAACAAATAGATACATTGTTGCAACCGCTATAAATGTCAAAGCACTGTCAAAGAAATAGCGGAGCTCTCTGCAGGGACACTTTTTGCCGGACTGGAATTCTTCTTCTTCATCCTCTTCTTCTCCATCCTCTTCTTCTTCTCCATCCTCTTCTTCATCTTCTTCTTCTCCATCCTCTTCTTCTTCTTCATCCCCTTCTTCCTCATCCTCTTCCTCCTCTTCTTCTTTTTTCTTCTTTTTGTCTTCCTCTTGCAGGTCACTGCTCATGTGCAGATTTTTTTATCGGTAAAAGATCGGCCGATTTGCCCATCATTGCCGTGAAAATCGGCTGATTTTTTTCCAACTTTACCGATAAAAAAAATCTGCCAAAATACCGAAAAACAGCCGAACATTTAGCCCATTAACGATCCGAAAATCGGCCGATTTTCGACCCATCTATGGTCTGCATAACTTACATTCACACATACTAGGACCAATTTAGACAGGAGCCAATTCACCTACCAGCATGAGGGATAACATGGGGAAATGTGTCTGTATGGCAGACATGTACTGTATTGTGTGTTTTGTTTTCGTTTTTACCTTGGCAAACACTTTGATGTATTCCTGGAAAACAGTCAACATGACAGGCTGCTCTCTGCTTTCTCCCTGTACAGTGCCTGCTGCCTCACAAATTCTAATTCCCGCGCTCTACTCTCAGTATGCGCACGCCTTCTCGTGAGCGCGCACGTAAAGGTTACCGTGGAGACCGGGACGCGCGGCCTGGTAATGGCGGAAGAGTGGAATCAGGACACCGGGGAGGTGGTGTACAGGTCCCGGGATCCAGTGAAGAACCTGAAGATCAGGTAACATTTGTGTTGAGCCGGAAGAACGGAGTTTATCGTTCAGCTCTCTGACTAACGTGTGTCCGTCCGCAGGGTGCTGCTGCAGCGGGTGACCCCAGTCAGTGCCCTGGTCCAGCGGGTGCAGGAAGAGGAGGAAGGGGGCAGAGGGGACATCGCACTCCGGACGCTGAGCTCCAGCATCGGCCCTGGTAATTCCTAGTCCTCCAGTCACCATCCCTCCTGTTCATGTGATATCGGGTCCCCCCATCCATTTCCCTTCTGTAGATGGGGAGGGTCTGGTTTACTAGAGTGAAGTGATCCTGAGCAAGACTGTGTGAAGCGGACCTGTCCTTTATCTTTACAGAAGAAATGTAAAGGTGAACCAAGGCCCCGGTCACATGTCGCGTAGTGGCAGCAAATGTTCCCACTTTCGATATTCGTTGTGCGATTTTCACACAATTTCAAGTGTTGGGCATAAGGCAGCCACATCTAAGGGCTGCCCTATGCACATTTGTTGCCAAAATAATCTTCTGCTCCTTTTTGGGCGAGATGCGATTTTAAAGCTCGATTTTTGCTGCATGACTCTGTTGTGCGACAATCGCTGCAGAATCGCATTCGGACACCCCCACCACGATCCTCACTGTACTTACTTCTGGGGTTGCCGAGCTGTCAGTGGTCAAGGGATTTTAAAAGATAAGTTCACCTTTCATAACATGTCACACCTACATTCAAGGTGTAACATGTTACGAAAAGGACTGGCCCCCCTCCCCCCTGATCCCCTGTTTTGAAAGCTATCGGGGGATCTCCTCCCCCCCCTCTAGCCTTCACAATTTTAAAAAAATACGGCCATGCAGGGCGGGGTCTGGGACTACAAGTCCCAACCAGCCTTTGCAGCTGTCGGCTTGTAGCTTCCATTGAGCTGCCAGGGTGCTGTGGTAGTTCATTGATTATTTTTGTCAGAGTGTATCTGCTTGCCTGTACAAGGTACGAACACACAGATACACTGACAGGTCTGCATGGCACCAGCCATCTGCTGATCGCTGGTGCAATGCTTTACAGGCTCCCAAAACAAAAACCTTTTACCTGCAAAAAAATTTTTTATTTTTTCTTATAAGGAGAACTTATCCTTTAAAGTGTTACTAAGCCCAGGACTCTGCATTCACTATATCTGGTCTCCCACAGTACACAGAACATGGAAATGCAATTATTGTAGTAAATATAAACTGCTAAATACCTTTTCCCATCAGCAGTTAGAGCAATCTTTTGATGTCTATCAGTGTCCAGCAGAGCACTGGTTAAAGCTTGTAGGAGGAGTTTTCTGTCTGCTCTAAGAGGATGCAGAACTCCTGACCTCTGTCTGGACAGTGCTGATTGGCCCTGTGCTGATCACATGCACTCTTCCAAAAAAAAAAAAACCCCTCTCTAGCAATATGCACCAAACTGAGCATGTGCCCAGTGACTCTACACAGTATGTCTTATCAGGAGGTAAGAGGGGGACACTGGAAGTAGAAGGGGAGGATCAGAGAAGTCTGAATCAAACAGCATTTATGCACAATGCAGAGGATTAACTCCTTAGGTTCCACAGTGAGTATAGCAAGCATGCTTTACTGCATATATGTACTGATTTTACTGTTGTGGATTTAGTAACACTTTAAATCCCCACTCTTCTCTCTGTTCTCCATCAGTATGTCTGGGACAGACCAGATGGATTCTGATTGGTCCACACTGTCAATGTGATGGCAGTGACCTATCAGAGTCGATCTGGACCATGGTGGGAGGGTGATTGATGTGTACACAAGTTCACGTCACCTTGCTACTTTAGTAAATCTGACTACAACAAACAGCACAGTTTATGTTATCAGACAGGGCTGGATTTCATCATTAGACAAAATAAACACCAAGGGAAGGGGGGCACCACAGGGTTTTTTTGTCCCTAGTAGAACTGAGTTCAGATGTGTTCGGACTGCCATTCGTCGGTGGCAGAGGCATGCTCCACCCTGCAGATGCATGTATACAAGGTGCCTATGATTGGCTGTCCACTGACAGCTTTCTGGCAGGTTTGGACTCTTGTCGTGCCTAAGCTCATCCCTGGTCCCTAGCTGTTATACTCTTACATTTTAAAACAAGGCACACTTATCTTTTTTTCCCCTCAGCTGACTGATCCCCTTCTCCCCCTCCACAAATGTATATTTATCAAGATATGAGTGCTGCGGTCTCTGGTGTTTATATACATCCCATGCCTCTCTCTTGGCATGACCTCACAGGTGCCCCCTGGGAATGCTACATCACCATTTCCTTTGGGAACTCTCGCCTGGTCTGGTGCATATGGCAAAGGTGATCTGAGACATCTTTTTTTGTTTAATAACAAGCCATCTCTAATTTATGTACGGGACATGTTTTAGATCTCATAATGTACATACACATCTGACACAGACTGTTATTCTTCAATAATAGGCTGTCCCAGATCTCATATGGCACATATGCCAGATCAAGCGAGAAATCCTGGCAAAGGAATTAGGAACAAGAAGCTGGCTACAGATGATGTAATGTTTGTGGTAAGGTAGAATATAAAAAAAGAATGTGTGTGTACACACACACCAGCCATAATAATATGATGACCCCATATTGAGTAGGTCTCCGTTTTGCTGCAAAAAAGCTCCTACCTGTCACAGCATGGACGACACTAGACTTCTGAAGGTATACTGTGGTATGCACAGGTGCCCCTGTGCTCTATTATCCAGAGTGGTGGCACTCTAATACAGGAGGTGTGTTACTGGCTGGATCATCAGCTGAACACTGAGGGAAAAAAAAATGTAAACACCAGGTCAGTGTTGGGCAATTTATCTAAGCTTTACTGATGCACTAAAATGGGAAGTGAACCTGTTCCATCATCAAACATCCAATCATGTACAGGAAGAACTGAAAGAAAAATACAGATTCTGCTTCATATGATTGGATGTTTGTAATGGACATAGGTTCTCTACACATCCCTCAATTAAGGCCCTTCCTTCCTGTCAAAGGGGTCCCAATGACTCTTAATGTCATTCACATGTAGAAGAATTAATATAAAATTTAGAGTCACCTAGTGTCCTTCATGCATTATAACTGTCAGTGATTAGGAAAAGCACTGTTACACCTTACCTCCTACTAATGTCCGAAGAACTTAATGTGTATATAAAGTCACATAAGTATGTAAAGCTCCTCTGGTATTGCACAACCAAGTTCTGTTCTTGTTTCCTATTGAGCTCCAAATTTTGACCAGCTCTAGTGTTTGAGAACTTGTGGCTGCCTCTCATGCCTATTGCACTTCACTACTGGCACATCACAAGCCCTTGGTAAGCTGCGGCAGGGGGTGGCCAGGCTGTCCGACATAGTAGCTGGTGCTTGCCACTGAGCTGTAGGTTTCATGCCCTCTGGGATTTTCCACATACATAACCACATGGAAGAGCCTGCTATGGCATACTAGATCAATTGTTTTTAACTTGTATGTGACTTTAGCATTCATATTATATCTTTTCAACACTTATAATTTTGCTACATAAGCATGTGTTTTCATTTCCTTTAAAACAAAAGGTGGACATCAACATGGAGATGAGGAAGAAATTGTGGTTTCCTGGCAAGAGAAACTTTTTAGTGAGGTAATCTTTAAGATTAAAAAAAAAAAAAACAAAACAATAAAGTCAGTTGATATGTTAACATTTATGATGCAGAGGTGACAGTTTTTTTGCACGCATTCTGCAAGGGCACAGTGATATCAGTTGTTTTCTATGTGCCCTTTTCACACCACACTAGTATCACATACAGATTTTTTCAGGAATCTGCAACAAATATAAAACTCATTGAGGCACACATGAAAACTGATATAAACTGATGTCTCCGCAAGTGAAATCTGCACGTCAGTTTCCATCAGTTTTTCTGCATGTGTGGTGTGAACAAGCCCTAAAGTGGAAGTCCAGGCTATAACTATCCAAACTTAAAGTGGAAACAAACCTATTGATTTAAGTTTCAAAAACCGTTACATTCCTGGCATGCCGGGAATGCCAACTGTCACATTTGCTTGTGCTGTCAACCAAACTGTCAAACCATCAATTTGCTGGAGTCATAACTTATCACATGTGCAGCACTATGGCAGTTGTAGATTAAACAAAGGCTTATGCTAGCCATACACTCGTTGAAAAATTGTTCAAACAATTTTTCGAAAAATGAACACGCAGCCATGAGAGTAAGCAATATTGCCATCATGTAATGTCCAATTTTCTAACAATAAATCATTCAGTGGGCATAAATGAATCCATTTTGTTTTGTCACATGTGCGCAGTACGAACAGTTCGATTTTTAACGGGCGAGAAACACAGTAAGCTTTCAATTTATCACCCATTCGGCAGAAGTTTTCCAAACTTTTCTTTTGATTATTTTTGGCTCAAAAATGTCACTACCAACTTTCAATTTGTGCCCATTAACTGGATGAAAATCGAATGAATGACAGATCTTCAAATGATTTTTCACTAAGTGTATGGTCACCATAATAGGGCAGCTTCCTTGGCTGAACAGGATAAGAGGGTTTAGTTCCATTTTAAATCTGCTCCCACACTTCTAACTCCTATTCTAACTACTCTGTAGAAAGAAGATGCTTATTTTTACCTATACTTAGGGTGCTCCGGTCTGGTCACGTGATTGGCTCCCCGCAGCTGGTTTCACGGAAGAGGAGGGACTGCAGTCTGCGAGCTGCTAGCCTGCCAACTGACTGAGGTCAAACACTGTTACCTGCCTGCTGAGTGTTCAAGGCTGTTGGCAAGGGGGGGGGGGATAAATGGGGTTAAGCTGGGCTACCAGACCTCTGCAGAGAGACCACTGGTCTTGTAGAGAATATATCAGCTTTCGTCTGCAGACTATTGCCAGGCACAGACTTTTTTGCTAGGGCTGGGTATACTTTACCAAGAAACCAAAGGGTCCATTCACACCTATACGTTCTGGTCCTTTGTGTTAATTCATGTTTGTTAACGTGTTATGTTTGATGTTAACATGCAATGCAATAGGATAGCCTACCATTACACCAGAACACACAGAAATACAGACATGCACCATTTTTCTCAGGCTTAGTGCACTGCAGAGCACAATAAGGTGTTACTGTACCTTCTGGTACATTGGGATGCCAAATGAAAGTGAATAAACTGAATGGACTGCAACACGCTAATGTGTGTATGATGCGTTGCAGTGTCATGTGCAGTAACTGATAGGTGTCATTGAACTGTAAGATAGTGAATAGTTACTATTTTGCTGCACCCTGATTTTATTTTTATAATTTGAACTAATGCTTCAATTTTGGATTTTGCTGACAGTTTGATTGGGCTGTCATGTTCTCTGACCTGATTGCAATATACCCTTCCAATGGTTGTATTAATATCCAGGGTGGGGGCATAGTTTTTAAAATAGGATTGCTTTGATTGATCTGTGTGTGCCTATTTAAGAGGACTTCATTTAGGTTCAATGGTTTAGGCTTTCAGTGGTTCATAACATATCTCTTTCTATTACTGCCGGATTAAACAATATTTTAAGCTGATTCTGTCAGGTATACTATCTCATTTGAACTGATCGAGGTAGAAGCATAAAAAGATCTGTTTGACTACAAAAAAAAGTTGGCTGTAGATTTAAAGAAGGATGAAAACAAATCCGTATTGGTTTTGGATGGGTTTACAGGTAATTTATGCATATTTTGCATGTTTTTCCAGTTCGAATATGAGCTGTACAAAAATGAAGCTGCTTGCCGGACTCCTCTGGATCGTCAGTATCACCAGGACATTCTTGCTATGGAACGCAGTGGCGGACGAAAGAACAGACGTATCTTTACCTATACAGACTATGATCGATACACCAACCTAGAAGAGGTATCGCTGGAACCCCCCGAAAAAACCCCCCTGCTAATTATGCAGTAGGAAACAGTTAATCAAAATTCTGTGCAAAAAAACCTAAAAAACTAAACATACATGATTAGCAAACGTGACCTCCACCTTCCCCTGTGAGCATGCTCTTGTCTTGATAGATGGACCTTTAAATTATACAGGCCTGCTTTCCTCATTAAGCTGGGAGCAGCTATTGGCAGACACACACCTTTGGATTCTTGCATGGAAAATTTAAAAAAAGCAGATAAACGCCATAGTAAAATAAAATAAACAAATACAAACATATATTGCATGTACATATTAAATGTTCAGACAGACTCTAAACTGGGGTACTCTGTCCAAAAGTTGCTGTGGAAAATTATCAGCACAGATCAGAGCACAACTTCAAAGGGCTTAACAAATTAACAACAGTACTACCCTGCTCTCACACAAATCCACAGCAACTTTCAGCCAATGCAGAAATCCCTCTTGCAACAGTGTTACTCCTTCCGGACTGTTGTGATCGGAATCTCTGCATTGGTTGAAACCCGTTGCAAAATATGGGGATTGTCATTGCTGGTCTCAAACAAATGAGTTAACATGCCAGTCTGGTGTATGGCATTCTCAAAAGAAGAGTTTAGTAAGGGCAGCCTACATAATTCTCTGTAGAGCAGCAAACCTTAGCTAACTGGCTCCTGCACAGCCTCTTGTGCTTAGGGTTTCAAATGACAGGTCAATTGTAGGAGTATAAAGGGGAGTAGAGCAGTGTTGTCAGGTTAGGCTGCTCACCTGATTTACACTACAAACACCTCCACTCTTCTCATCCCAATTACAAAGCGTGGAGCTATTTTGTCTTCAACACAAGATAGTTGTGAAATCTTGTCTGAGCTTTCCATTCAGCATATAGGATGTTGCCAAGGACACTTGATTTATGATAGAATCATCAGGTATTTTTCTGTACTTGCACAGATCGACATAGCCTAACATAGAAAACTAATACAGCCACCACATCCAAGGACTGGTCATCTGTAATATATTACATTTCTGTTCTCGGTTTTAGATATACACTGCTCAAAAGATTGAAAGGAACACTTTGAAAACACATCAGATCTCAATGGAGAAAAATATCATGCTGGATATCTATGCTGATATTATTGTTATTATATAGGATTTATATAGCGCCAACAGTTTGCTCAGCGCTATACATTATAACAGGAGACAATACAGCAACAATACAGTTCAATACAAGAGGGTTAGGGGGGCCCTGCTCCTTGGAGCTTACAATCTAAGAGATAGACTGGGTAATGTGTAAGAAACATAAGGATGCTACAAAAAAAAACCCCAATAAAAGGATAAAGCACCTCAATAGCTTATGAGCAGAATATATTTATTATAGGACGTAACATTATAAACAATCAGTGAATGTTACCCATCCATCCTTTCCCAAGTCCCCCCCACCTCCTCGTATAATGTTACGTCCTATAATAAATATATTCTGCTCATAAGCTATTGAGGTGCTTTATCCTTTTATTGGGGTTTTTTTGTAGTGACTTTTTGTTGGATGCGCCTCCCCCTTGATTTGATGGTGGGGGTTTAAACGTGAGAGGACGGGCTCTTGAGCCATTGGGGGTCTCTATAGAACTTAAGGATGCCCCATGATTTGATGGAAATGAAAATTATCAACCTACGGGGCTGAATTCGAAGACTCCACAAAAATCAAAGTGAAAAAATTATGCAGCAGGCTAGTCCATTTTGCAGCAACTCAAAATGGTACTCAACGAATGCTGTCCTGGGGTATTTCCTGCCAGATCTGGACCAGGGCATCACTGAGCTCCTGGACAGTCGGAGGTACAACCTGACTGCGTCCGATGGACAGAAACATGTTATCCCAGAGGTGTTCTATTGGATTTAGGTCAGAGTGCCATTGTCTAGCCTGTAGAGGTGTGTGCGTCCCTCCATGGATATGCTTCCCCAGACAATCACTGACCCACCACCAAAACGGTCATGCTGAATGATGTTATAGGCAGCATAACATTCTCCATGTTTTCTCCAGACCCTTTCATGTGTGTCACATGTGCTCAGAGTGAACCTGCTGTCATCTGTGAAAAGCACAGGGTGCCAATGGTGGACCTGCCAATTCTGGTGTTCAATGGCAAATGCCAATTGAGCTCTATGGTGCCAAGCAGTGAGCACAGGGCCCACTAGAGGATGTTGGGCCCTCAGTCCACCCCCATGAAGTCTGTTTCTGATTGTTTGGTCAGAGACATTCACAGCAGTGGCCTGCTGGAGTTCATTTTTGTAGGGCTCTGGCAGTGCTCATCCTGTTCCTCCTTGCACAAAGGAGTAGATACTGGTCCTGCTGATGGGTTGAGGACCTTCTCTGGCCCTGTCCAGCTCTCCTAGAGTAACTTCCTATCTCCTGGAATCTCCTCCATGCTCTTGAGGCTGTGCTGGGAGACACAGTAAACCTTCTGGCAATGGAATGTATTGATGTGCCATCCTGGAGGAGTTGGACTGCCTGTGCAACCTCTGTAGTGTCCAGGTATCCCCTCATGCTTCCAGTATTTACACTGACCCTAGCCAAATGCAAAACGAGTGAAAAACAGTCAGAAAAGATGAGTAGAAAAAAATATGTCAGTGGCCTCCACCTGTAAAATCATTCCTGTTTTGGGGATCATCTCATTGTTGCTCATCTAGTGCATCCGTTGTTAATTTCATTAACACAAAAGCAGCTGAAACTGATTAACAATCCCTCTGCTAATTCACTGACCAGATCAATATCCCAGGAATTTAATTGATGCTGTACTCTGATTAAAAAGTGTTCCTTTAATATTTTTGAGCAGTGTATTTTAGGCTAATTTTCTTGCCTTAACTTTATCACTTTAAAACATACCATTTTCTATATATAGCATGCTCAGTCAGTAACCACCTCTGAAAAAGAGACCCCCACATTCTTAGCAGAACGAATGGCAAATGTCCGGAGACGTCGGCAAGACAAAAGATCATTGTAAGTGATTAGAACTACAGTATATTTATACCTTAGATCTATGATAATAATTGAAATTACCTGTTTAGATTGAAATAATACCTGTAATTACCCCTTTCTTTACTTCTCAGGGATGGAGCTGGTATGCGTAATCGGCTTGTTATTTTGGATCCCTCAGAAGAGTTTGTCAAAACTAACCACATAAATAAATACTCCAGTACAGACTATGTACATCATGGCAGATCTCGGTCCCCGAGGAAAGTGAGTGTCCCCAGTCATGTGTCCTTGGGACTCCCTCTCTCAGGAGTGTCCCCAGGCTCACCTGCATAGTTCAAAGGGAACAGGTGGTTAAGGGAAGAAAAGCAGCACCTAACCTGCCTGGCGAGTAAGGGCCCATTCACACTTCCCATACACAAAAAAAGCTCAATTTAAGCATGCAGGCACCTGTCAGTTTTGGGCTGCATTGAGGTGTAGCAGGGGGTGGTGTGATGCACATTTTAGCACATCACACAGTTCCTTTTTTTTTGCATTCTGATATGCGGTGCCTTCCTATGCGCTGAGATACTTGCAGCATGTCTGCATTTTATCACACCTCTCTGTACCGCGTGGGCTAACAAGGCCCATAGAAAACAAATGTTTTTTTGTGTATCCCAATGGTGATTAGTGTTCATCCAATGTGGAAAAATGTCAGGTACCGCCCTAATTTGAATGAGCCCTAAGAGACCAGGGAGGAGTGTTTAATTGGGGAGGGAAAAATAATGGATTGGGTCACATTGCTGCTTAAAACAGCTTTCAAGAGGGAAATCTAGCATTGTAGCTGCAGGATAGTGCATATGAAGTGCTGGATAAACCACTAACTTATTATATTTCTTGTGGACTCTGCTGACAGGATATGTTTTTTATGGTTCTTAACTCCAGCCTACCACTGAGCCCAATACAATGGTACCACGCTTATTTAGCTAAATTCCTTGCGTTCCTTTTTGTACAGAATACAAAATTCTTCAGTGGTAGTGCAGTAGTCACTGACTATATAATGATCACAACGTGGAGGTGGAGCTACGGACCAGCATTGTTTTCTTGAGACTTGTTTTTTTCAAGGAAAACTCAATGATAGGAATGAAGGATCACCATACTGACAGCCACACTACTAAAAATATCAGTTTTGGGTGGTTCACTTATAAAAGCTGCATTGCCATACTTACATTTGTTTTCTGCACTCATTTCCAGACTGGGATTCAAGGAAAATGAACATGTCCTTTGTACAATACGTGTAGATGGTAATGGAGTTATTACACTGAAGCCTGATGTCACTGGAACAAAAGGGCCCTACAGGTATTTGCACCCATATTGTAGTAGCTTAGGATAGGACTTGACACATCCTACTTGCCAGGTAGTTAGTGCTCCTCCAAATTGCATGTTTCACTTTTTTTTTATTGTCATTAGTTTCCTGGCTTCTTAAAATTATGTGCTGGTTTCAATAATGCATTTGCTTGCGTTTTGTATGAATTTTTGTATGCTTGGTGCAGAGGTGTTTTCTAAGGTCATTTTCATTTCATGAGATCACATTTAAGCCATTAACATTGTTTGCATTCCTCTTAGGTTGGAAGTAGAGAATCAGAAGCGTGAGCTATGGAGATATTCTCTGCACCATGTTTCAGAGTCAGTCCAGAGGGAGGAGCAAGAGCGGGAAGAAGCATTATACAGATGTAAGGGGCAATGGATAAAGAGTGCTTAGGGATGTATGAGCAACACAAACAATATAATAAATTGTATGAGTATGATTATATTAAGCACTCTGTGGCATGTACTGTCGTATTAATTAGGATTTGAAAGTCAAAAGTAGTTTAACCTCCCTGGTGGTATGATTATTTCAGATTTTTGGTGCTGAAAGCGGTACCATTATTTTGCATGGAAATATGTAGTTTTTTTATTGTAGGCTGTAATTTTTAGGAATAACTCACTGAAATCTGTCCGAACAAGAGTCTATTAAACATCCCGGGTATGATAAAATTTGAAACACGAAATCATAAATGATAATTTAATAATCATAAAAAATAATAATATAATAATAATACATTTAATTCAATAATATAATCAAACCGAAAACACTGAAATTTGAAATAGAGCGCCAAGTTCGTACATTGCTGAGCAAAGTCGCAAAATCGTTTTCAGTGTCTGGTGAGGAATTTCCCCACAAATCATTATATCACTCAATTCTGCAAGTGGTTCTGATTTACTATCGCTGTTCTCTAGCTGGTCTAAACCCGCTTTTGACCTAAAGGGACACTTTTTGGACGCCATGGATTTTTCTAAGTTTCCAGGCAGAAAGACAGACAAAATGTAGGCAGGGCACAGGACAAAGCACTAGGGACAATATGTATGTGAAATGGGTTGAAACAGCAATGTTTTACTGTGAAAAATGTGTTTTGAAAAAAATGACATTTTTTAAAATTTTCAAATTTCCCCCGCCCACCGCCCGTACGTCCCGACGTCACGGGGACCGGAACACAGAAGCCGGATGCCGGCATCAGCCGGAGGAGATGGCCGGGGACGCTTCAGGGGACACATCGTGGGAGCGAAGGACAAGGTAAGTGCTGCAGGGACTCCCTATGCAGCGCCGCATGGTAAGCCCGAGTGTAGCTCGGGGTTACCGCTTTTGGTACTAAAACTCTACCCCGAGCTACACTCGGGAATACCGCCAGGGAGGTTAAAGAATAATTGCAGACTTAGACCTCATTCACTTAGGGCGTATCAATGCATGACCCATGTGAGGGCTGTGTTTACCTGCATGGGGGTGTACAGATGTTCCATGTATCCCTGTTCAGGTAGTCCCATTGATGCCATTTGAGTCGCAGCAGCTGGAGAGACACAGACGCTGCTCAGCCCTGAACGAAACCAGTGTGCGTTTGGGGCCATGCACCCACACGGAGGTCATATTGGGAGCAGCTGCTGCGTCCCAATTGACATCAATGGGACAGTATGCTGGGGATGCATGAAACACCTTTGCAGGTAAACACGGCTCTCATATGGGGAACACACTGATATGCCCATGTGAATGAGGCCATAGCAGTGTATTTCTTTAACCATGTTGCAGATATTGTGTTGAAATTGTTGGTACCTAAAGTAAAGTCCCCATGTCCTGAATATACAAATCAGCTCTTCTGCAAATATAGTAAATAGTGAAGTTGTCAAAATGTGTGGGAAGGAAAGGGCATTGTGCAAATTTCTGCATACCTAGCATCTGTTACATAGTCTTTTTTTTTTTTGATGCTACAGATCCTAACCTTGCTACATGCTCCAACACCATTTAGTGGACAAAGGTGAAAAGCAAGGTTTATTTACATTGGAAGAGAAGTAGGGTTTTTTGAATTTGTGTTTAACTCCAACCAACCAGTTCAATAATGGGTAGAGGAGAAGGGTTAGCTGTGCAGGAATGGAGGATTTTTTACTATCTTGGTGACTTTTTTCACACAGATAACATTGATTTTGCTCTGAAATGAGAATACATAGAGCTTCCAGCAGTGATCTATCCTCAGTTGTTTACATTGTTCCTCCATTTCCCTGTTATTTAGAGACCTACACTAGGAAAACGTATTGAATAATCCAAGACTTTTACCCAATTTCCACATATCAGAACTTGCAGGGTTAGGCTGTTGTTGAGAAAAAGTTAAATAAAAAAAAAAATACTAGATAAGAAAGAATATTCCCTTAAACACAAATATATTGAGCATTTTAGTGAGAGCCACAGATCATTGTCTGCTTAGGAGACTGACCTGAAAGTATCTGGATTTTACTGTTTTACAAGTATTGTGTCAGATGCTGGTATCAATCCAACCATTACGATTTGAAACAAAGCTACAGTGTTGTCTATCTACAGCTCTGGTTGTGTCATATTATTTGGATTGTAGGTCACAGGATTAGGATGTGTAGGTTAGATTAAAATTCTGTAGAACAGGAGTTTTCTTCACCTAGTTAGGCAGCTATATTGCATGGGGGGATGTGTTGGTCATTTTTACTTCTTGAAAGCATTTTCTTTTTTGATTGGACGTCTGTGTTATGATTATGATTTTAATCCCCCAATGCTTCCTTTTCAGCTTTATGGCAGGCATAAAGAATATCTGAACAGTCTTGTGGGCTCAGATTTTGAAATGGTGAGATAACCGTTTTTTTTTTTTTTTTAACTTAGTAATTCTATGTAGTTTAAATGGATTACATCAGTATTACAGCAAATGCTATGCTTCACATGTGCAAATTACAGCTTTTTCCTGTAAAAGTCAAACTTGGTGTTACCTCAAGCCTCCATATTGCACATGTGACAGTCCATCACAAAGACCATTAATGAGTCTTGAAGGTGGGCTCAAACCTGATTTTAACAGGAAAAAAAAAAGATCAATATTTGCACATTAGCTGCCTATATCTATGGCTTAATTGATTTTCTCTTTGAAAGATAACTTTTTTTTCTTCATAAAATGTTTATTCTGACCTGCTTATTTTGTGACATATCTACTGTTAATTTGTGTAGTTACTTTGAGTTTCATCTTAGCTATGCTTTTTATTACTTTAAAGAAAAGATGCCGTTTTGGAGCGCTCTCAGCTCCTGTATCTTTTTAGTGGCATTCCAAGAATTAAAAATATTTTAAAAGACAGATTTTTACCATCTTGCATTCTAACTGTACAAGGGTCTCCCAAAACTTTACCATTCCTTGACACACTGCAAATCACCTCACCAGTGGCCCCCTGCTGCCCTCTCCTCACTTGCAGCTGGCAACAGTATCCGTTGTTTTCATTAATAGGGGAGCATATCACCACTTTCAATGTAATTTTGACAAAGCCTGAGCTTTGTCTCATGATTGCCACCCCTCTTTGCCAATCTCTCCACTGGCTTCCCGTTGCCCAACGGATAAAATTCAAAACAATAACGTATAAAGCCATTTATAACTCTGCCCCCCAAATTACATCAACGATCTTGTCTCTAAATATCACCCAAACCGTACTCTCCGCTCCTCGCAAGACCTCCTACTCTCTAGGTCCCTTGTCTCCTCCTACCATGCTCGTCTCCAGGACTTCTCCAGAGCTTCCCCCATCCTCTGGAATTCTCTACCCCAATTTATCAGACTATCGCCTACTCTGATCACTTTTAGGCGATCTCTGAAAACCTATCTCTTCAGGGAAGGCTATCCTGCCCTCAGCTAATACTGGAATCTTCTACTCTTCCAACCAGTCCACCCCCCACAGTTACTACCTTTTGTACCACTAGCCCCTCCCTCCTAGATTGTAAGCTCCAAGGAGCAGGGCCATCAAATCCCTCTTGTATTTAACTGTATTGTTACTGTATTGTCTCCCGTTATATTGTAAAGCGCTGAGCAAACTGTTGGCGCTATATAAATCCTGTATTCTAATAATAGTAATGATTGCGGTTGTTGTGTTACCACACTCCCAAGCCACTGACACCAGCTGACACTGGAAATTTTAGTGCTGGCTGTGGCAGAGAAAGAAGTGGTGGTGGAACACTGGCAAGATAAGTTGGGTAGTTCCCCTTTGCAAAGACAATGTCACTTTGCCCTTAGTGGGCAGGGTGAGAGTGTCTCCTAAAGCTTACGTTGTTAAAGCACATTTTACTCTTAGTACATTGTTGTATTAGTTACATTGCATTTAAATAAATCATTCTAGATCTCTGCTTTGCCATCCAGACTTTCCTGACTGGGTAGTGTTATTTATTTTCTAGCCGCCAGCTGGTACTCTGAGAGTTTTTTATAAATGGGGAGATTGGTAAGTGATTTAAATTGTTTGTACATGCATGAATAATACAGGTGTACCTCGGTTTACGAATTTAATGCGTTCTCCAGGACGTTTCGTATTGTGAAAAGTTCGTAAAACAAAATGCGGTTTCCTATAGGAATGCACTGAAAATCAATTAATCCGTTCTGGAGGTCAGAAAAAAGTAAAAAAGTCACTGTCACTTTAGATCAGTGCCAGTTTTTAAATGCAATTACCAGCTTTTTTTTCTTCACTATAGCTCAGAGAATCAGCTGTCACTTTCCCTCTAGCTAAAAGAAAGAGAGTTTCCTTTTAGTTTATTTCATTGTTAAAAGAAACAATGTTTCCTTTTAATTTGTTTCCCGAGATAAGTATCCTTTAGCTCCTGGGAAAGTGACAGCTATAGTGAAGAAAAAGCTTGAAATTGCATTTAAAAATCGTGACCGACATACACTTTGTATTGTGAAAAAAAATTCGTAAACCGAGGCATTATTTTCAATTAGTTTTCATAAACTGAAAATTACATTAACTGAGGCGTTCATAAACCGAGGTACACCTGTATACTGTACCTGATTCTTGTTGTTTACTGTATGATGTCATTTGGTCAACTATGCTGGTCAACTATGCTGTTAAAACAGACATTCTACCTGTGCTTGCTATGCTATTGACAGAAACAATTGCCTGGACTTTGAAGAAGGGGACATACCCCGAAAGCTCGTCCTCAAATTTGTATGTTTGTGCAAATAAAAAAGTATCACGGACAGTACTCAATTGTTTCTGTCACAAGTGCACTAATACGGCTACAATCACCTTATGCTACTGACAAAACAGACTACAGTAGAAATTAATTCATTAAGCCAAGAATGTATGATCCTAAGAAATAATTTGTACTGAAATGATAGTCTATAGAGGTGATGGAGTAATAAATGGAGAAAAGACAGAGATACGGGTTCTCTTGTCCTATTTATAGTAAAATTGTAGTCTGAAGTGTCATATTTTGTTATACATACAGGGTTAGGAGAACACAAGCTACTCTTGTGATGTGGTGGACTTGAATCTCTTTTAAAGTAATACGTTCCCATTCCCCAGTAATGTCTGCAGCGCTTGGCAACCTGAAGTGTGATGATAAAATAAGAGTGTACGGTAGTAATTTTTTCATAATTTTTCTATGGCTTGTTTGAACTCCAGTACCAAATTTTGCCAGTAGGTGGTGGCTCTTCTCTCTTCCTATCAGGTTTTATAGAACCAATGAGAGACGGAGCTAATGTCCTTACATCCTGTTACCTTAGCATGTTGTATACCTGAAACTGTTCTCACAGACAAGAGTTTGAACATTCTTTCAGTTGAAACACTGCTGCTTTTGTAAACATATGTGGGTTATTTTTTTTTATTTAGTGTCTGCCCAGGAGTATGAATGTGACAATCTTTATGTACATTTCTTCTTAGAGCTGCCTAAACGTAAGTATTTAGTACAAAACATGAGTTTGTACTTTGAAATGTGTTTTCTAAATAATAAAGTGGACTTAATACTCCAAAAGTGAAGATTTGCTGTCTTATAGGAAATATTTGGTAAAGGTAATTGTGGTTAAGCAACACCTAGAAAAATCTACCTTTTTGCTCTGAGGCATAGCAGTGCATTTCCTGACGTGTGATATTGCCTAGGTTCCCCTGTTTGTGATGCCTTATAGCTGCATATCAGTAATGTGAGATCATCTAAGCCAGGGGTCTTGAATTAATATTTACAGAGGTCTGTCAGCAAAATTTCCTTCCAGCAGAGGTCTGAATCTCATTAGCAATAAAACACATCACAGTCCCCCGGTACATTATGATTTTTAGCATACCTTTCACACTGTAGTCCCTCTACATCACAGTCTCCTCTTTCAACCACTTCCCGACCAGCCGTTGTATATAAACGGCCGGACAGTGGCACTGCAGGGTCTGGTGGCCGTTTATAAACGTCCTCCTCGCACCCTGTTTGTGCACGCTCCCCGGGAGCGCGCAGCACCACGATCCGGTGCCCGCTGTGTCCTCCAGACACAGTGTAACACCAATCGTCGGACGGGACCTCTGTACGAGGTCCCGATCATGTGATCACTGATTGGCCAATCAGTAATCACATGCAAAGTAGTAAGCAAGATGTCACTTCTTGCTTACCACATGTGAAATCTGTGAATGATCACAGAGGTCACATGGTACAAGGCTATTCACAACAGCTTTGTACCAAGTGACAAGCTGTGATCAATCACAGCTCACTCAGTAGTTCTCAATGGCTGCAAGAATGCAGACAGAGAGAAAGAGAAATGATTGCTTTTACATCCTATATGGGTGTAAAAGCAATCAGTGTAAAAAAAAAAATCTTCATCACCCCCCACAAGTAGTACAGTGTCACCATGGTGACACTGTACTGCTAGGGTGACAGTATGTAAAAAAAAAAAAAATTAAAATAAATAATATTAAAAAAAAAAAAAAAATGTAAAAAAAAATGTTTAAAAATTATAATTTTTGGTTATAAACTAATGGCTTATTTTTTTTTTACTAAAACGATAACAGAATAAATTTTGGCCAAGATTTATGATGAAATATTATTTATTTGCAAAATGTTATAAGAAAAACACTTTTTTTCAAAATTTTTGGACATTTTTCGATTACATAGCAAAAAAAAATAAAAATCCCAGCGGTGAATAAATACCACCAAAATAAAGTTTTATCTGTCTCAAAAAAATGATAAAAAATTCATATGGGTACAGTGTTGCATGACCGTGCTATTGTCATTCAAAGTGTGATAGCGCTGAAAGCTGAAAATTGCCCTGGTCAGGAAGGGGGTAAAAGTGTCCGAACTGGAAGTGGCTAAAGAAGTCACACAGTGTCCTCAGTTCCCCTTCACATCACTGCCCCCCTTTACATCGCAGTGCCCCTTTAAACATAACAGTGCCCGTTAACACAAAATAGCACTCCTTAACACAACACAGTGCCCCTAACACAACATAGCACCCCTTAACACAACACAGTGCCTCCACAACACAGTGCCCCTTTTAATGCAATCCTTCCCCTGCACAGTCCTATGGTACCTTAGGCAGAGCAGAGGCACTAATCCTTCTTGGGTATCCTCTCTCCTGGTCCTCCAGTCCACTGCCGATGTCATCCTCATAGCGGGGGGCGGGGGTAGGAGGAGCTGTAGATCGGGACTGAGCGGGGGGGAGCTGCCCAAGTTATTATGTTAACAAGTGGGTGATTGCCTGGCTTGCTAATATGAAAAGACTCCCACTTACTGTCTCAAGCTGCTGAGCGGAAGTCTTTAGATGTTAACAAGCTGGGTAATCATCAGCTCCCGCCCCTCAGTCCTGGTCTGCAGCTCCTCATACCTCATCCACTGTGAGGATGACATCGTTGACTGTGTGAGAGGCCTGGAAGAGGATACCCAGCCGTGGCAGTGGTATGGCTGCGGTCCAGACAGGACTGTTCCTTAGTCACCGCGGTCTGCCATTTGGTAACCACTGATCTAAGCCATATCCAGCCAATTCCTTTCCGTGATGACTGCTGTTCTCACAAGATTTGGGCTGTTTTCTTGTGCATTGTAGTAACTAGAGTTGTCACTACTGCGTGCTCTTTGTTCTACTGAGGGCCTGCTGGAGAGGAGGCTACATCTGAGGGCCTGCAGTGCATGTAATCCCTTACTCCTACTTTCAGTAATTATGTGGATCTATGCTTCCTCCACCTCTCCTACTGTCTATTGAACTTTATTCCATTTTATGCTGCTGCTGTCTGAGGATCTATGGCTGGACCACTACTGCTTCTTATTGATTACTTCACCAATGGGTTAACCATCTATCAGTCATTGGAGCACCAGTTATTCAGGGGATTTATCCTAAGACTATTGCTACTGCTTATGTTTCTGGTATTAGTGAGACCATGAGAAAATAGTTTCTCAGCATCCATGATTACTGATCTTTTCATTGAATTGAATCACCATTTCTTTATCATACATCACGGGACACAGAGCAGGCTATTCATGACTGTGGGTTATAGGCCACCTATAGGTGAATGGACAGTGGCTGACCAATCAGAGAGGACATCCTCCCCTATATAACCCCTCTTATACTGGAAATACCTCAGTTTTTTTGCCAGTAAGGTGGATGGTCACTGAAAGTGTTGCTGTGCTCTTGGAGCATACGTGAAAGTCCAGAACAGTTCCATTAGAGAATCAGGGACTTTAATTGGATCTATTCAGAAGCCTATGAGCTAAAATGGATGGTACCCGAGCCTTGATAAAGAGAAGAATCCTCGAGGTTTTGCCTGTAATGCAGCCTTACGGCACTGGACCCCGTGCAGATGGGACCTTGTGCAGTTTTAAATCTGACCAAGGCTCTTCCAATAAGGTTCTTTAAAGGTCCAAGGTGATAGCCCTTCAGCATGGGGACTAGAAGATAAGATTGCTGGGATGATTGCAGTTTCTCAGGGGACTAAGATAGATCCCCATCACTAGGACCACCAATCCTAGAGCAGGAATGGGTGGAACCTGAGGATGAGGAAGAGCTGAAGGAAGGTCAGGCAGTAGAATTTCTGTCTGAGGCATCACAGCCTGAGGAGAAGCAGGAGGTCTCTGCCTCTCAGTCTCAGAGATTTTTAGTCCAAGTCCTCATTAATATGGTCTGGATTCAGGCTACCTCCGATAGAATCCTTTGAAGTTACTTATTCTTCCCTGGTTTCTTCAGAGAGTACTCAGACCTTTCCGGTGCATTCTCTTCTGGAGCAAATTATGTATGCTGACTGGGATCACCCAGACAGGGTTTTTATTCCACCAAAGAAGTTTTCTGTTCTGTACTCCATGGAACAAACGTTTGTTAAGAAATGGGGATTACCTGTAGTGGATGCAGCTGTTTCATCCCTGAATAAATCTTTAACATGTCCTGTGGATAATGTACAGGTTTTCAAGGACCCAGAGGATAAGAAGGCCTCCTCCCTGGCAAGTTCTGCCGCACAGCCAGCTGTGGCAGCTATTGGCAGTCTTTCTAACTGTGTCCAGCAGCGGATTGGAGGACCATCAGTGCAGGGGGAATGCTCGGCCGAGGATTTGAAGCATGTTCCATGTACTTTGTGTTTCGCAGTTGATGCTCTTAAGGATTCAATTCAGCAAATTTCTCGCTTGGCCCTCCTATCAGTGCACATGCGCAGGGTTTTTGTGGCTGAGGAGTTGGTCAGAAGAACTGCCATGCAAAAAAGTGTTGGCAGGTTTTCCCTTCATGGGGAATGGCTTTTCGGGGAAGATTTTGACAAATATATCCAAAAGATTTCAGGGGGTAAAAGTACTCTTCTACCCTCTAAGAGGAAATCCAAATGCCCTTCTTTTAAGGTGTCAGGGGCTTCGGTTGCTGGGCCCTCCTCTACCAGGCAGTCGTTTCGCCACACACACTGGTCCCAGCCTCCAGGGGTAGATCTCAGAATCAAAACCCAAGGACGCCCTGGGTGCAGAAGTCGTCTAAGACAGATTCAAAGTCCGCCTTCTTATGAAGGGGCACCCCACGGGGGGCCCTAATCCAAGACAAATGGGTCATTGCCATTATTTCTTTGGGTATACAGACTAGAATTTCTGGTATTTCCCTCTCCCCAGTTTCTAAGATCAAATGTACCAACAAATCCAGAGAAAAGAGCTTTATTTCAGGCACTCGATTGCCTATTGGCTCAAGGAGTAATCACGAAGGTTCCAGCTGGCGAAAGGTTTCAGGGGTTTTATTCAAACCTGTTTACAGTCCCAAAACCAAATGGGGATGTAAGCAGTGGTGTATTTTGGTTTTGTGCTGGTCTAGGCAAGACTAAAATCCGGCACCCCCCCAGACCCTTATCTAAATTTGTCCCACCCCTTCCTGTTTAAGATCCACCCCTTCATCTGTAAACACTAGATGTATGGAGGGGACAGATGTATGGAGGCATGGGTGGATGGATGGATGAATGGGTGGATGGATGAATGAAGGGGCAGATGGATGGATAGAAGGAGGGCAGGGTGGATGGGGGAACAGATGGATGGTGGGAGGGGTGGATGGATGGGTGAGGTGGGATGGATAGGTGAATGGAAGGAGGGAAGGGTGGATGGGGGGACAGATGTATGGAGGGATGGGTGGATGAATGGATGGAAGGGTGGATAGAGGGGCAGATGTATGAATGGATGAATGAGAGAAAGGAAGAGTGGGTGGGGGGGACAGATGTATGGAAGGATGGATGGATAGACGGATGGATGGATAGTTAGAAGGGCAGATGTATGGATGGATGAATGAGAGGCGGGAAGGGTGGATGGGGGGACAGATGTATGGAGGGATAGGTGGATGGATGGATGGAGGAACAGATGTATAGATGGATGAATGAGAGGAGGAAAGGGTAGATGGGGGAACAGATGTACGGTAGGATTTATGGAGTGAGTAGCTGTCATGCACTGACCTGGTTTTCTCCAGCCTCTTTCTCCCACT